AAACTGTGCTACGCACTGCAGTAGAAATGTGCCATTAAGAGGAGCACCAATCACAACAGAGCTGGCCAGCTAACCAATCAGAGCAGATTGGGCTCTGGTTTCAGACAGAGGGTGAAAAGAGGTGCTGCAGCACAGGCAGTATGAGAAAAATAAAGAGCTTTTTGAACATTAAAGCATGGAGACATGTCACAGTGAAGGCAAAAAATACAAATATGAACCTGAGAATTAGCATAACAGGGCCCCTTTAGTACAGAGGCTGCCATACAATGGCCATATGCTATAAGGAGCAACTTTGGGTTAAGTATCTTGCCCGAAACACATCAACACTTCGACTGCAGGGGCTGGGGTCAAAACCCCTACCTTCTGGTTGTTAGACGACCACACTACCTCACAACCACAATTGCGAATTAGACAGGAACACCATGCAAACAGTACTAATGCGTGATCATCCCCACCATGGAGCTCAGCTTCATAAGTGAAGGCACCTTTTGCCAGATTAAGTAAGTGCTGTTTAATTCACTCTCCAAAAGTGGCCGGTCGATGTCTCCATTCAGATCAGTGCTGCGTGTAGTTAGGTCAAAGGTCACTGATGTAGCATGACATGAAAGGCAGCTCAGTGTCAACAAACAGCAGAGTGCCAAACAATCCCTGCAAACACCTCAGCTCGTTTCCCTTCTCGAAAACCCAGAACAGAGAGGGGGAACTGTGCGTGCGTGCGTGTGTGTGTGTGTGGTTCCACTAACTGTGGGCCGAGTGAGGAGTCATGAGAACAGTAGACATGTCTCACTGAATGTCTCACTGTCTTCCCTGCGGTCTGTCTGTCTGTCCACCATTAAGAAGAAGTGCTGGAGTGAGTGAAAGAGACACCCGGGCCCACTTCCCCTCTCTCTCTCCGTCTTCCTCCCATTACTTGCAGATGGCGCTAGAGAGCAGCTCCATTATGTAAGCCTCCCTATGCTGTCTCTGCTGCCCCCTTTTCCTCCCTGCCTCGCAATACCATCACAGAATGGCGCCTCCTATTGAGTCAGCAGCAGCCTCTACAATATGTCTGCAGTGGAGGGGGAAGGGAGGGGAGGGATGGGAGAGAGGGAGGGATGTTGGGAGGGAGGAAGGGGAGGGACAGAAGGAGCTAGAGAGATCAGTGAAGGGGGAGGGGGAGATAGGATGAGGTGGAGGGTGGAGGGTGGAGGGTGGAGGGGGGGCGGGTGAGGGAGCTGGGAGGAAGAGGTGGAGGGGGGGTGAGGGAGCTGGGAGGAAGAGGTGGAGGGGGGGTGAGGGAGCTGGGAGGAAAAGGAGGGAGAGAGAGGGGAGAGATGAGAGAGAGAGCGACGGAAGTGGAGGGGGGAGGCAGGGAGGTCGAACAGAGGCTCAGAGGAGAAGGAAAGGGAGGGAGGGAGGGGGGAGGGAGGGAGGGAGGGAGGGAGGGAGGAGAAGGAAAGGGAGGGAGGGAGGGAGGGAGGGAGGGTGAGGAAAGGAGATGAGAGGGAGAAAATGGAAGAGGGTGAGAAAAAAGAGGGGGGCGATGGGTAGACAGGGAGGGGGAGTGGGAGGAAGGGAGAAAAAAGCCGAGGAGAGGCTGAGTGGGAGGGAGAGAAGGAAGAGGAGACTCTCTCTGCTGAGGGCTGCTGGCAGAAAACAGGTCTCCCCCTTCCCCTGTGGGAGGAAAAAAAATAGGGCCTACAAACCTTCCACCACAGATTTCCTCACGCTCCCTCACTCCTCCACTGGGACAAGATAACCTATGTTCTGCTTCACTACTCCTCATCCCCTTCCATGTGTACATGTTCACTGAGGGGACAACAGACATATTCACAGCAGAAAAGTTTGGGTTGATTCAAATCCACTGGAGTTTCAACACCTGTCTGTGGCCCTCAGCAATAAGGGTGTAGAGCACTCTGAATATGAGGCTCCTCTGAGTGTGTGTGGTAGTGCCCATGATCCTAATCTGACACTTGCCCCCACCAAGTGGCAGCCCTCCTCACCCTGGATCCTACACAGGGTATGAGGGCATCTCAACCCACCTGGCTGGTCATATTCTAATAAGGGGGAGGATAGAAAAACGTGCATAATTTAAAGATAATACGTAACATACGCAACAATCTGCACCTGGTTGTGAATAGGTATAATGTTCCACCCACAATAAAGAACTCCCTGTACAGTAGTGCAGCTTTACACTCTCAATAGTCATTTAGCATTTCTCTTTCATTAAAGTCGAAATACCTGCGTGTCGTGGTAGGTTTAGCTGATGTGGGATATAACGGAGCAACTCGTGCAGAGAGGTAACGTTTGTGTGTATGCAATAACCCCTGATCAACATCTGGCAGTATCCATATCGATGGGCTTGTCGGGGAGCTGCTGCCGCTGACAAAGAATGGGGACACATCGCGCTAAGTTAGCATGCTAAGCTAGCCAACTCGCATCAACAACACGGGCTGTTCAAAACTACTGCTGCTGTTTCTGTGCTTATTTATACAAAAAAGAGCTTTCGCTTGAGTTTACCTCAGCAGGTAAACAAGGCTACCGGATAAGTAATTCAACTTGGTTACGTTGACCCCCCCTGACTTAAAGAAACAACGTTAATACACGTTTTATCGACAGCCAAGTTACCTCAGCTGTGACGTTAGTTCACTGCTACACAGGTAGCCGCTGCTAACTCTAATTTTGACTGTTACAGACAACACTATGACGGACAAGTTTACCTGCTTTCACATCCACTGCTCCCGTCTGAGTGAAATGTGTCACCTCAGGATGACTGAGGCGGTGTATAGATACTTTTCCACAGAGAGCTCCTTAATATCCGTACAGTTGACAACTGTTCGTGGGAGAGAACCAGCAACCCGTCCGTCCGTTGGTCTATCCTCCAAGCCCGACTCTCTCTCGCTGAAACGGGCTATCCTCTTCCCTGTGGTCGGCAAACGGGAACATAAAGCCTCCCAGGCTCATTAGACAATTAAAACCTCCATTCTTCTGAGTGGTGAGGGCGGACACATGTCCTACTGTTGACAACAACTACCGGCAGAGCCACTATTTCAAATAAACGCTCTTAAGTGTTCCTATCACAGCCTGGCAAACGATATGGTTTTGCCCATTCTTTTCTCTGACAGACAATACACATCCAGCCTAGAAACTGCCCGATCCAAAATGGCGCAAATAGAAGGGGCGGAAGTGACATCTACTTGATTAGCATAAAAAATCTCATTGTGAGATCCTCGCGAGCACAGCTCAATAAACTCTTGATTGATCTGTCAATCAATTAGGCCAATTAAGCAAAACCCTTGTAAAAAAAAATCACCTACCTGGACCCTGAAACACGGCGGCGGGCCTTTGGTTTCTGAGCTCGAGCCTGTGTGAGGTAAACAACCCAGCACAGTAGTGGCGGGATCCTGCCGACAGCGGGCGTCCTTCTGGTGAGGGTTTTTCGATGTAGGCGCATGCGCAGGCTACATCTGGCCCCCCCCCTTCCCTCCCCTGCGGAGGCTCGGATGTACACTGTGCCTCAGCACTCAGCCGTAGAGGTATCTGCGGCTGGGTGGACGATAGGTGGCGCTGTACTACACTACTGTTACCGCCCTTCAACCAAACTGACCGGGACTACTTTCCTGCACATTGCCTAGTGAAGGGCCGCAGGACAGCCCTAAAAACAGCACTGCATGTATACAGTCTAAAACTGCTTTTAACTGGTTAAAGTCATGGTAGAAGTTTTTCATAATTTATTGTTCTTCCTTGCCCCATTACACACCCTATCATCATTCACTAAAATGGGCAAACTGATCATAGGTCTGCTATGTGGGTATTTAATTAGCAATGTTAAATAGGAATATGTAACAATTAAGTCACTGCAATCAAAATCTACATTATCATTATTTATATATGAAAAGAACTTTCATAGCAAATATGTATACAACTTTATGGACTATTATCAGAATTGATCTCAACTGATAAACATAACCTTCTATGCATATTATACATTTCTTAAAGATTTTTTGAAAGTTTTGAAGTAAAGTTTTTTAAACCTATTTATGCTTTTAATATGACAAAGTATGACATCTAATAGGAGAGGTTTCTTCATAAGACATTTTTGGCTTCCAATCTCCTGTGTAATGTAAGCTTTTTCTTAAATTCTTACTGTGTTTGCGTGTATATGTTCAAATACATAAGTAGTAGAGTACAAAGCACAATAAGCCTGGAGCGTTCAGGGCCTGGGGGCGCCGCCTGCTCTAATCCAGCCTTGCACACTAAGGTGAGGAGAGAGACGTTGGATGTCTTTACAGTGGGACTTGTTGAAATTCATTCAAATATATTCACCTTGCTTGACATTTGGATGACATTTCCTTTGGTGTATGTGAGGGAGATGTCTGGCTGCCTCAGCACAGTGGAGCTAATCATGTACTTCAGAAGACCATGAGATGTGGTTAAAAGCTCCCAAAAAGCTACAAGTGACTCTCAGTAACTTTATTTGTGTGAAACTATGCATAGTTTTACACAATGCTATTTCAGAGATTTATTTTTCAGAGGTACTGTATTTCATGTCAAAGCTAAAACAGTGTTCATGTTGTTTTTATCTGCATATGCAATTAGTTTTGAAAGATGTATTTTCCTAGCAAAACATAACTTTTTTATTGCAGTACAACCCTTGTACTTTCTTTAAAGATTTATTATAAGACATTTCTTTCCTGAATAAGCATGAAAATACACTCTCAATATTTGTTATAGTGATTTTATTTTTAAACGTAAATAAAACGGTAATAACGGTCCCAATGTGGTCCCAACTTATCACACTTGACAGTATTGGCAAACATTATATATATATATATATATATTATATATGTTTTTGATATTTATGGGAATTGGGTTAAAATTTGGTATACTTGATCAAAATCATCCATGTCTATGTTTATGGATATAAACAGCCCACTTGCACTTATTTCACGTTTGACCGTGATCAATGAATACCAAAAACAGATGGACGTGTTGTAAAAAGAAATATCAGAAAAAACAGATCCAACAATACAAACGTTTTAATTGTATACAAACAATCACTGGTGTAGCAGTAAACATGTACTTAAACCCATGTGACAGTTGATTCAGCTGTGCGCAGAGGGAATCATGTCCATGAATCAAGATGTCATTAGAGAGGGTGATGGGAATGTAGAGCACTATGTGGCTGCAGTGTTCAAGACCACTACTGACTTTATATTTACTGCCAACATGTCTCCCTTGTCAATTGCTGTCATGTCACTGTCTGCCCATGTAGACAAGCAGAGCCTTCCCCCCCCCCCCCCCCATTGAAATTCTGATACAACTACTGTGTTTAAGACAGCCACTTCAAAGTCGCGGTAACATTATCTAACTGTGGGATGTCCAACAGAACTGATCATGTGGTGGCGAAGAGCGTGATCAGTCCTTTCACGAAGGACACAATCTCGTTTCCTCCCAGTTTGGACTCTCCGTAGACCCGATCCACAAAGGAGATGGGAACCTGTTGTTTTGGAGGAAGAAGAGAGAATTCGGTTTTTTGTGTCCAGAATCACGCACAAAGGTTCACAATGCAGGGGAAAGTCAACCATGTTTCTGTCCAGAGTCTATAGTTAAGTCGTAGAAAACGTATAAACACTCACAGTGAAAGCCAAAATGCCTTTAAAAGCCCTCAGTGCAGATTTGCAAAACTGTTATTTCTTTATATTTAAGGAAAATAAGTAGGGGAGATTTTTCTTTATCTAGACATGGGTCCACTTTCTGGAAAAAAATTATTTGAACTACATCATTATATTTGCACTCAGTAAATATTCCGCATCTGCAAATGAATATAAAGATTTATTGATGTTCTGCTTTTTTTAAACATGTATCAGATCTGATATTCTCAAATAGATGAATGAATTAGGGCCTCACTTCTCCGATTGTGTAGTTGAGCTGTCTGGCGCGGACGATCATCTCCATCTGAAAGACGTAGCCTTTGGATACGCAGCGCTCCACCAGACTCTCCAACACCGCCTTCTTGTACAACCTGACATCCGGGAGAGAAAACTGTATGAGTATGAGAAAATATATCCCCAAAAAAAGTCAGTGTCACACAACACTCGCTCCATGGACCTGAAGCTGCCGGTGAGGTCTGAGGCTCCGGGTCTCAACAACACCTGAGACAGAAAGTTGGCTCCCCGGCTGTGAAGAGAGGTGACAGGAAATAAATCAGGCCTCCGGTCTGTTGTGAGGGGAAATTGAAAAACAGTTGTTGACTCTCAGCTACCTGATGAGTTTCCTGCGCAGGTCCCAGCCGTAAACACCTCCGTTGCCTTGGTATCGAGTGCCAGACACCAGGTCGTAATCACCTTCCTTCTGCTTTCTGACCAACAGGAGAAAACGGTCTTAAAGGGACAGTACACCCAGAAATGAAACCTGCATTTCTCTAAACTACAGTGCTATTTATCCACCTCGATTGGTTATGTGTGAGTTTCAGAGTGTTGGAGATATCGGGCGTAGAGATCTCTGCCTGCTCTTCAATATTATGGAACTAAATAGAACACTGCTTGAGAAAATATTTATTTGAAGATCTGTACAACTCTTTATAGAAATCATGAGAAAAATGGTGTACTGTTGGTCTCAACTCTTCCTTTAACTAAAGTATTTCTGCACAATTTACCTTTCAACTATCATTATGACACAATAGCTAAAACAATATGTTTCCAATATTTAAAAACACAACACAATCACGTGATATGAAATTAAAATGTAGTAAAACTTACTTAATAAATTCTGGGATGAATTTGGGCTGAAAAAAGAACACAAAAACCAACAGGAAAACAGTAAAATAATATGCCGTACAAAATGAAATCACTCACAGAACCCGTTATGTTTCACATTCAATTGTAATTATATTAAATAGCAATGTACATTTTAGGGATGATAGAGGAGAGATTTGACAAAGAAAATAGATCAGTTAAACTCACAATCTAACTACCATCCAAATACTTACTCTAAATCAATTCGGGAATTATTAAAATAATCCGCTCGGGGGTAAATTGTTTAGTTTATATATCGATTTGCATTGATGGCAACTAATTTATAACTCATTCATAATTTTTGTATATTTTTAGGGAATTATGATTGTGAGAAATTATAGATTTGTTCCCCTAGTTTCAGACATCTGATTAACCAAACAATAAATGTATTATTCAAAAAAGTAACTGAAAGACTAATAATATTTCATAATAATAAAATAAATGTTAAAAGTAGTCATGTCTTCATTTGAACATATTGTAAACACACATTGAAAGAAGCTCCACTCACATGATGGGAAAGATCTGCGTCCATTATGATGACGAAGTTCCCAGTAGCATGCTTAATGCCGTGGATGTAAGCAGTGCCTATACAAGGAAAAAGGAGATAATTAATTGTAAGCAAAAGTGACCAGAACGAATACACTAATACACTGCTTTGAACTTACCAAGGCCTAATTTGGTTGCTCTTGGTCGTAGAAGCTGAAACACACAAAAAAGAGAAAAGAGTCTGCATCATCCATTTACTTGAACCAACATTAGATAGGTTTACAGTGTAAATCATTTTAAACAATGACGTCGTTAGTCACTTCTTACACAATACTCAAAATAATATTATGTTTAAGTGAACAACCAGGATCCATCACTGAGAGCAGGGATTCTTTACGTACTATCTTATCTTCTCCATAGATTTTCTGCAACTGCTCTGCCACCTCCAGCGTCCCATCAGGGCTTCCGTCGTCAATGACAATTATCTCGTAGTTGTAGCCACTGTACAAAGAACAACGTAATTCCATCAAGCTAAACAAACCTAAGAGTGCAAACTTGTTCATGAACTTGAAAATACATTAACCTAAGTTTAATGTCACTGTTAAAAGCTGTCATATTCTTACTCTGGTTTAGTGACAGCTCATCACTTACATTAGCTAATGTTACCAAAGTAGCTAGCACTAGCCGAGCAGCTAAACCAGCTCTTCGGAACTCACCTTTCACCGAAATATTTCACCAGAAGCCATACTATCAAAGGGAGGTTTTCCCTTTCGTTGTAGGTAGGTAATAGTATTGAGTATTTGTCCCCACTATCCCGCTTTGGCTGCGAAGCTTTTCGGCTGGCCATGGCGACGTGAATCTATGGTAACCCCACCGAGTGAAGTCAGAGAAAGTGCCCCCAACATCCTGTTTGTTACTTTCAAAATAGAGTATCGGTCTAAGTCATTGACCTGAACGTAAGGTTTAACTTAATCAGATAATAGCCTTAGACTCTGTTCACATCAGCTTTACCTAAAAAAAAAAATCACAAAAACATATGGGAAACATTATCATGTAGCAATGCTGCTAGCCCTGGTCAATATTGACCGTGTCTTCAGGGCTGCATTTGTTTTGAAAAATAAAATGACTTCAGGTCAAAAAGATTGTAGCACCAAGACTAACTTGACAAAGCCGCTACCGGAACCGGAAATATATTTGTCCTCTTCAAAATAGACACTACCGGAAACATTTGTCTCTTCAACCCGGTTCCGAGAAAGAACTAAGCCTTTATTATAACCGTTTTTTCCGGCTTACTAAATTAATTTCTCTTTCCCTCCACTACAAATGTCACAACACTAAACTACACAAGTCATTTTGGAAAAAAGCACACAATTCGTTAGAGACACATTAATGTGATTTATTCACAAGATGCGCACACACGCGCACACACACACACACACACACACACACACACACACACACACACACACACACACACACACACACACACACACACACACACACACACACACACACACACACACACACACACACACACACACACACACACACACACAACACACACACACACACACACACACACACACACACACACACACACACACACACACAATGTTTATCACCCCCACCCCATATATACCAGACAATGTAAACATGTATTTTACATAATAGGTACAGTATAAAATATCATACATGAATAACTCCATACAGTAATTATAATAAACAATATACACATTATCATACACATGACAACAGGCTTTCTCACAGTATCAGTTATACCATGGAACAAAAATAAGCTTTATCACCATGGATTATGCACTTTCATTATCCTTGAGGCAGTTAAGGTTAGAATGGCAGATGAAAAGGGTGGGAATATAACACAGATGCTAAAATATTTGGCATTGATACAGTGCATGAATATATAAAAAGTAATAAAAGGTTTCAGTGCGAATATGGAGTATAAGAGAGCACTTGATTGATCCCAATGAAAAAATATTTTCCTTTATGATGCTATCTGTTCATCAAAACACTATTCTATATTAGAAAGCTTCCCACGTATTCCTTGTTTATTTCTCAGCCCTTATTTATGTCAAGGATCAACAAGAAGACCAAGAGTGACCCTTCCTGTGTGGTTTCCTTTTCTCACACATGATGAAACTAGTGAAGCTTCCGCATCAGTCAGTGGCACGTTCCACACACCAAACCTCTTCAGTGCTGCTTTTCTTTAGCTCCATTCCCAGTTTGGCTTTCAGCTCCAAAGGAATCATAGTCACTTCAAACAGACGTCTTTCATCTGCTTGCTTGTAAATATCCTCTCAAGGTTGGTAGCCGTAATAGGGGTCTTCTGTTGAAAGAGAGCAAACACAACAAGAGTCAACACGTATGACCACTTTCACACTGTATTTAACAGACTTGGCCATTTGTTGGGACAATAGGTTAATGACCAAAAAATGTTTCCTTAAGTTCCAAGAAACATGCCTTTAAGACAAGTTTGAACTGCTCTGATTAACTGCATTAACAATACCATAACTTTAAAGCTGCTATAATAAATCATCTTATATCAACAATAAGTAGTAAAAAGTGGTCGCTCGTAGTGATGAACCAAATATATTTATTACCTGAGTTTATATCCTGCCAACACAATTTTAGCATCTCTTTATTTTGGCTTTATGGCCGAATGATCCTTGTTTTTATTGAATCTCGCCGTTTTTGGCTCCTTCAGGCAGCTGTTTTCAGCTATTAAGCACCAAAAACCCACTGTATTCTACCTGATCAGCAAGAAACACCTACAGTTTAAGGACGTTCTTGTTGTAAAAAATATAGTTTTTATAGTTGCTCCTCTACGGCTTATTATTGACTCCCAGTAAATACGAATCAAAATCTTCATGTCTTATTTACTCACGCTGCAGAACTTTTACACCTAGGCGCTGTCACACCGGAGTGCGTGTGTGTGGGTGTGTGAGACGTTACTGTCTGTGCAGCTGCGTGCCAACGTGAAACCATCATGCGGTATATTTGAACATTTCATTTACATAATTGACTGTATGAGACATATTGAAGATGCTGGCTACATCTCTATAAACATGTATTAACTTGGGCCTTAGCATACATCATCATTACTTACCCAGCCACTGTACATACCTAACACTGGACATCAGCTGGATCATCACATCTGATATGACCAGACCTGAGTTAATGAACCCCTCCTGGTAGCTAACCTGTTTGCTGGGGGGCTCTGTTGCAGCCTCCGCTGTTGTCGCACAGACCCGGGGGTCCCATCTCTCCGGGCTGTCCTGGTGGTCCGCTGATCCCCTGGGGTCCTGATTTACCATCATCTCCTTTAGAACCTGGGTCACCCAGCTTAGCCTCACCCAGAGGACCTGCAGAAGAAAGTTCATTTATATTAAATGTATAGGGTATAAATATGGTATTAATATATACAGTATAATAAATAAGAGACAACCTGTTTCTCAATGACAAATATGAGACGATGACTACAGTATATAATACAGTGTTAGATGAAACCAATGATTTATAGAGAGGTACCTGCAAATCCTTTGATCCCCGTGGGCCCCTGGACATTTGGCCCTGCATCCCCCTTGGCCCCTAGCATGCCTCTTCCTCCTGTAGAATATCACACTGGACCCTTATAATGTTTTCATTTCAATAAACGTATCACCATCTACAAGATAGAGTCTTACCCTGCTCTCCGGGATATCCTGGCCTTCCAGGTCTCCCCCTCGAGCCGACATTCCCCTGGTTGCCCCTGCCGCCTGGTGGGCCCTTAGGCCCCGGTATACCAGGTTCCCCGGGGGGCCCCACTGGCTCCTCAATTGGAGCTGGCTTCCGACTCATCTCATTAATGAACATGTCGAGCTTCAGCACCTCCTCTGAAAAACACACACAACTCTGGATGAAGAATGAGCAGGAGAATATGTTTCCATCCGGACCTCTTTAAAGTCAGAATGTGCCAGTCAAGGCCAATCCAATTATTTGAACCACAATGAAACTTCCCCAGTTTTGTATTATGAGTTTCTTGAGTTTTAAGGTTTAAATATGCAAAACAGTCATAATCTTATTATAAATTGTATAATTCGCAAACATTTCCAGATTATTAATCATTTGATAAACCAAGTAAAAAAATCTAGATTTCTATTGTTGACATATTAGAGTCAAAGGCTTTTACAGATCGTGGTATAACGCTTTAAATCAGAAACTACTGTCCACACCTATACAAACTAAATTATTTTCACCATTCAATTCCATTTCAGTTCAAATGTATTCAATTCAAATCATGTTTTCACAAGTAAATGTTATATCAATGAGGGAATAGATGATATATGAACACAGCCATGAAAACCTTTAGAATAGAGATATATGAATGAAACTGTGCTACTGAAGTGGAGATTTCCTTTAAAGATATGTATTGTAAAATTCCATATATATTTGCAGGACACTACAGTTAAACATAGTTGAATTCATCTAATAGATATCCCCCAAAACGTCCCTAGTTTATAACCTACAATGTACAAATATATTTGGGTATTACAACTTGTCTGTATGAGGCAATCTAATGGTGAATTAAGGAGGAATCTCCGTAAACAAATAGAAAACATTTGTAAACTTGTATTTTGTACATTTTCTTTCCAATAGTCTTCAATGTTATGAAAGCAAAATAGTCCAAACTCTCATATTTGTCTAGTGCATGAAAAACAATGTGATTGCCTTTAGACTAGTGTCTTTCCCCTAAATATACAGATATCATCATTTGACACCGTTTTTGAATGCATGCAAACAGAGTACTTACTATGCACTAGCTGCTCACAGGCCTGTGTGACCAGTTGGAAGATCATGGCCATAGACTGAGCTTCTCCCTGGTAAACATCAGCAGATTCACAAGAAGAAGGTATTATTGTTATGAAATGTCTCTTTTATACATTCACTTTAGTGTGACAGTATTACGATGAAAATAAAGATGAACCCACCTTCTCTCCTCGCTCCCCTTTACCCCCTGGCAGACCCTGTAAAGCAAAAGATATGTAAGACATAATCAAATATATAAAGACAAACATGGCTCATGACATCATTTGTCCCTCTGGGCTTACCGAAGGGCCTACCAGTCCTGAGAGCCCCCTTTCACCCATCGGCCCTGGGTGTCCTGGCCTTCCTTGGATACCCTGTAACATAGAAAAAGATGGATGTGTAGAACAGACAGTGTTTCTGAGTCTGGTAATGCCTGATGTTGGCCTGTGGGTGGTGCTTGAGTAAAGCACAACATGTGCCTGAAACGGAATTGATCAATCATTCTCAAATATGGACCTAAAGTCATGGCTCTAAAATGTATTCCGATCTCACCCTTGGTCCAGTCAGGCCGGGTCCACCGATGTTTCCTTCAAGCCCCCGAATACCCTGTGAACACATTACAGAGACATGATGACAAATAAAGAGGGGGGGGGGGTGGGGGGGGTGGCACAGTAACTGCTTCAGCTGTATGAAGGACTGCTGATATTACTGATTTGGGATTGAGCAGCTTACCAGAGGGCCGGGAACCCCCTGCTCCCCCTTTGAACCTTGAGGTCCTGGTAAACCCTGCAGAGAATGCAAAGAGCGCCATCAGAGAAACATATATCTTTTTTATAGACAACACGATTTAAAGAATGTTCTATTCTATTACTGTTTTTCAGTTTTACCTGGATCCCTGTTCTCCCAGGGTCTCCCTTTCCCCCTCTTGCACCAGGTGGACCCTAGAAAGGAAACAGAAGAACATTTTATACAATTTACCAGATCAAAGTCCAGCTTAGCAAGCTGCATACCATGGAGGACTACCATACACAATATTGACTTTATAATAAGAAAGTTACCCACCACTTTGCCCTGCACAGCAATGCCTCGGGGCCCTATGCTCCCCAGGGCTCCGAGACCTCCCTCAAATCCAGGCTTTCCTGCAGGACCCACCTCCCCCTGCAAAACAGAACATAACAATCAATTTGGAGCTAACTAAAACATGAAAATGGATGTACTGTTAAACTTAAAGTCTGTACTTTATGTCCAGTCTGTTGGAAAAGAAAATGTACTATTAATTTCTGACATTTTGATGCCATACAGGGAG